ATCATCACTTACGCATTCTGGATCTGAACGTCGGACATCCGGGCACCGTGCACGATTCCATGGTGTTGAGAAGTTCTTCTCTCTACCGTCGCGCCTGGGGAGGGCAACTATTTGTAGAGCAGGACCGGCCAGTCTGCCTGCAGGGTGTTGTGGATGCACCAGGAGGATATTTGTTGGCGGATGCGGGTTATCCCCTCCTTTCCTGGCTCATTACTCCTTATGGTCCCAGGAATGCGAACAGGCACACTGCAGCATTTGATGCGCGATTGAAGGTTGTACGAGTGGATAGCGAACGTGGGAATGGAGTGCTGAAGGCAAGGTTTCGCAACTTCTACAAGCAGCATCAACCAAATGTGGATACATTAGCAGAACAGTTCCTAGCAGTTTGCATTTTGCATAACATCCTAATTGATTTGGATGAGGATGTTGGCCGTGTCCTTCGACATCGTCGTCAGAGGAGAGCGGGGAACGTGGTATTCCAGCCTGTCAGGCAACACGCAGCTCAGGCCGACAATGCAGCTGGTAAGGCTTTGCGGCATGCACTTGAGGACCATATCGGCTTACGCCCCTAATGGTTTAGAGCTCATGCATGATCTCATCGAAGCCAACAGCACCGTTCACGTGCATATCTTCGACAACCATTCTTTCAGTTTGTGATGCCGAGGACTCGACCAGGAGAATCAAGATCTGCAACCTGCAGGGGAGGAGGGTGCCGCCATCGGAGAGAGTCATCATCAGAAGGAGGAGAACAACCCCGCTACAGAGATCCTCTGACGGGGAGAACGCGGTATGTGCATCGCTATAGTCCCCGGACCAGGAGAATGCGGGAGATGGTTGTTGCCATGGACAGGACATGGGAGGAAAGATACCTCGTCGCCCGGGCGGAGATGGCTTCCCAGCAGGAGCAGCATTGCCGACAGCGGGCCGACAGTAGGAGAAGTGGAGTCATTCCATTCGCCTGCTGTTTCCGCCACACCGCCCGCGACTCCCCAGGTTGTGTCCCCGAGTATGCACGGACACACCATTCTCGAGCCCTGAAGTAGCCATCAACATGGTGTTGGAGAGGTTACATGGTCTAAAGATTCGATGCCTCTGGCCCGGAGTTATTATGTATAGAGAGAGAGAGAGAGAGAGAGAGAGAGAGAGAGAGAGGACAATATGATTGGAGTTTTAGTGAACACAAATTTGGATGAAGCAGTGATTATCATGGCATAATGAGGCTGCCATCGTGTTTAATTTTTCTTATAATTTTTGTTTTTTAGTTTCTCGTCTTGTTTTCCTTCTGTCAGTGAATGTTTCGGATGTGAATGATTTTTTTTTTTTTTTTTTTTTTTTTTTCCCTTCTGTCGGTGTTCCTGCAACTGTCTTCGTTTCAACTTTTTTTTTCTTTTCTTTTTTGTTGCTCTCTTGAGGGCATACTTCTGTATGCATCTGGCCGCAATTCCGTCCCAAAATGCATCAGACCGCAATTCCGGCCACACCTGTATGCATCTGGCCGCAATTCCGTCCAGAAATAAGTAGGAAAGTTGTAGTGTGAGTGTGCCCTGAGTGTGGAGCACACGTGTGTGTGTGTGGTAGCATGATCTTTCAGTTCACGGTTTTTTTTTTTTTTTTTTATCTTCTTGATGCTACTAGAAAACAGGTGTGTTTCATACTCAAGCGAAGACATGTGTGCCTCCGCTAGAAAAGAGAAGTGGTGCTGCACACGGCCACCAGAAAACACGTGTGGCTCCATACTAAAACCGTGTTGTCATTTTAGTATGGAGCCACACGTGTTTTCTGGTGGCCGTGTGCAGTACTTCTCTTTTCTAGTGGAGGCACACGTGTCTTCGCTTGAGTATGGAACACACCTGTTTTCTAGTAGCATCAA